GACCATTCATGTACAAAATTATTGAAAATGTTTGCAAGTGGGGTTGCTTCCATAAGCAGATATCAATAGATGAATATGGTCAAATATTTTGGTCACAATCCTGCAAAACTATTTATAAGAGGTAAACCTGTAAGATTTGGATACAAAAACTATGGGTTTGATGTGTACTGTGGCAAAAACATAGTGAAATCAAAGATTTTAAGGGAATACTTGGAAATAGTTATGACAGCTCAGTTCGATTTTCACTTGTCATTGCCAATTCAGATTATTTATTTATTTCTTTTTTTTTAGTGTTATTGAATTCGGAGCCTAACATTTTTGCATTTAATACGAAAACGGTGGTTTTTATCAATATTCTCTAAGAGTGATAAAAGATTCTAAACTAAATTTTCTATTAGAAACTGCAAAAATAAATGTGGGTTATGATAGAATAAAAAAGTTCTGAGCAAACAAAGTTTAGGAACAGCCTGTATAGCACTGTTCCCGCGTACCGATCCAACTCAAAAATTGCCTAATGATTTTACTTGATATTAGTTTACACTGTACCAAATTTCAACGCTTTACCATAAATAGTGTTTAAGATATTTAGAAAAATGTGTTAACATTTCATAACTTTGATGGCCTGTATCTCTGCAATTTGAGGACTTTTACTAATTTTTTTTACATGAATCGTCATCATTTTCACTCTAGTATACTAGGTTACATTTGTTCCCCGAGTCACCGAAACATCCTGTATAATTTGTGGATGGTGTAAACAATCGTTGTGTTTAAAACATTTTTTTCATGATTTTCATTATTGTCAACAATACATGGAATAAAAAAAGTAAAAAAAAAGAAATTAAATTAATAATGTAGAATACAATTTGTAATAGTCAACCATTTCTTTGCCAGTTACTTTTTAACTCATTATTAATAAGTATTTATATAACTACACTATTAACTTTTGTGTTATTTAAATAGAGTAAGGATAAAAAACGTTTTCTGTAAGAGTATGAAAATTATTAGCGTATATATTGTCTACCCCAAACTTCTAACCCTTGTAAGTTCTTTCAAAAGTACTACCTAACGTATAAAAAAATCATCGTCGTAAATGGCACCAAAATCATTAACAGCCTCTAAATGTCGTATAGGGTTTATTTTACTGCGTAAATCTTAATTTGCAACTAATTTATGGTTTTCTTCAAAATATTATTCAACAGTGTAACAGTTTATCACATTATTCTTAAGGAAAGAGGTTATCTATCATACCCCGTAACTTTGCAGGGGATGGTCAAAGGCAAATAAAAAACTCGTCATTAATATTTTTAAACGTACTATAAGGATACATAATATCGCCAAAATCGACTACCTAAATCGGTAGTTTTTAAAATATTCCAAAAAACTAAGGGGTTTAGTGTACCCCCTGATGCCCTCAGATATATCAATGGAAAGCTCTTTGAAAATGAATATTAGTTTACATTTACCACATTTCGATAGCTATTTTCGTTTTCAGCCTATAAGCNCAATGGCTGAAACCCGTTATTAAAATTGAACAAGTAATAATTTTATTTCACAAAGAAAAAGAAAAACAAAAATCAAAACTAAAAAAAAATCACAAATATTGTTCGAATTGATTACCGTCATGCTCAATACAACACTGGCATCTCCTTATAACGCCATGCGTGGCATTTAATATGAAATTGTTAGGTATTTCCCGACAAACTTCAATTATTCGGTTTCTCCAATCATTTACATTTTGTGGCACTGCTAAGTAAACTCGATCTTGGAGATATACCCAAAGCCAAAAATCTAAGGGCGTAAGGTCAGGCGATCGCGCAGGCCAACGAATAGGTTCATTAGTGCCAATCCATTGTTGATTAAAATTTCGATTCAACCAACTAACGTTTATGAGTGCATTATGAGGAGTAGCACCGTCCTGTTGAAAATATGTTTCACGCAGTCCCACAAGTGGTAATTCATCCAATCAATTTTCAACATCTTCACTTAATAGTTGGTGATATTTTTGCTGATTTAAGGAACCGTCGATAAAGAACGGCCCAATCAAGCAGTCTCCAAGTAGGCCACACCAAACATTGCAGCTAAAACGACGTTGATGGTTATTGTCGATGACCAATCTAGGATTTTCTTGACTCTAACAGCGGTGAATGTTGCGGTTAAAAATTCCATTATTAGTGAATGTACACTCATCTGTCCAAATAATTTTAGTATAAAATAACGGATCTTGTTGCAATTTTGTTAAGTAAAAATTACAAAATTGAGACCTTCGGATCGGATCATTTCCATCTATTGCTTGCACCTTGTGAGCAATATACGGCTTAAATTTGTGTTTTTTAAGCACTGCACATGCAGTACTTCGAGACGTATCAATAATGTTCGCAACTTCACGAACAGAAGTTTTGGCGTTTTCTTCAAGAGCTAACAAAACGTCCAGTTCCACATTTTCTGAAAATTTTCTCTGCACTACCTTCGGTTTCTTGAAACTTCCAAATCTTCTTAAATTTTCTTCAATTCGGCTAAATTTACGACGATTTGGAACATCTCTTTCAGGAAAACGTTCCATGTAAAGTCGCAATGCCTGACTACTGTTTTTACTACATTCAAAATAAACTTGTAGCATGTCAGTAAGTTCACTGAAATTCATGATATCTTTAAAAAACGTCGAATTATACTTATTAAAAATGTCAGTAATAATTTGTAATGACAGTTATAAGTTGTTTTTTATTTTTTTCCATGGCACACTACATTATAACGCATGTGATTTTATGAGAATGTTCGGAGTGTTTTAATTTTTTTCTCTACTAAAATTACAATTAATATTGATGTATTATACATCAATGGATTTTAAAAAAAATCTCTATCCAATAACGTGAAAAAAACATATCGACCAATTTGAAAATCAAAAGTTGACATCGCTTGAAATTGAAGATGGCTTTGGAAAAAATTTATTTGTAGCATGAATCATAGTATTTATCAAACCATTTCATTTGATACCTGGCTCATGAAAATCGGATTGTAAATGACAGAGTTACAGCTTGGGGCGCTTTTTGTGTGACACCTGTATATATATACAGTGTGTCCCCGGATAGGTGAAACGACTCTTATAAAATGTAAATTTTTTTCAATGTCATCTTTTGGGGTTTAGCCCTGCTTGGTTAAAGATTAATTTTGAACATATTTTCAAGTTTTAAAAGACAAGTGAATATTGACACTGAAGCGAAAACTTCTTGTGTGTCAGGTAAAGTACCTTTTCTGTTTACAGTATGCTAAAATATTACTAAGAAATTTGATTCAGCACGAAAAGTTATGGCCATATGCAAATTTTCGAAATCATCGGCCTGCTTTGACAAAACCCATTGTTTATTATTTCGTCAATAGTACTTTATTATAATTTTTTATTTTGAGATTCAGATTGATCGGGGGAAATAAACAAACCGTTCTTAAACTGTTCACAAAAAATTAAGTGTGTGTTCGCCCACAAAAATAAACAGTTAATCATAGTTAACTCAGTTTCAAATCAGTTTCATAATAATTCGTTTTTTATAGTGAACACTTCGTCCTGTAAGAAATCTTTTGATTAAACGCCAGCAAGTGCTACTTTGAAAGTATTTGGAAATTTTTCACTAAATAAAGCAATAACCATATTTATCGGTTTTTCCCCGGTTCCATAATAATAAAGTGTATTTAAAAAACACTTTAAGTTTACTAAATTACAGTTTGACAGATTAACATTGACAGGAAAGCAATTTTGTTCTTGCATGGCAGTCTTTGTTGGAAATAAAATTGATATGGATTTGCATCAAAGTAGGCCGATCATTCCGAAAATTTGCATAGTTTTTCATTCTGAACAAAACTTCTTAGTAACACTTTCACGTACTGTAAACAGAAAAGGTACATTGCCTGCCACAAAAACAGTTTTTCTTTCGCTGTCAAGGCTGACTTGTTATTTAAAAATTGAAAGTATGTTCAAAATTACTCTTTAACCAAGCAGGGCTGAATCCCAAAAAATCACAATTAATATCGAAAAAAAATTTCCTTTTATAAGAGTCGTTTCACCTATCCGGGGACATACTGTATATAACTTGTGTATGGTGTAAACAATCGTTGTGTTTAAAACATTTTTTCCATGATTTTCATTATTGCCAACAATACATGGAATAAAAAAAAAGAAATTAAATTAATAATGTAGAATACAATTTGTAATAGTCAACCATTTCTTTGCCAGTTACTTTTTAACTCATTATTAATAAATATTTATATAACTACACTAACTTTTGTGTTATTTAAATAGAGTAAGGATAAAAAACGTTTTCCTCAGCCATCCCTTAATGTCGTATAGGGTTTATTTTATTGCGTAAATCTTAATTTGCAACTAATTTATGGTTCTCTTCAAAATATGTGTAACAGTTTATCACATTATTCTTAAGGAAAGGGGTTATCTATCATACCCCGTAACTTTGCAGGAGATGGTCAAAGGTAAATAAGAAAAAACCCGTCATTAATATTTTTAAACGTACTATGTATATAGGATACATATCGCCATATTCGACAGGGTAGTTTTTAAAATATTCCAAAAAACTAAGGGGTTTAGTGTACCCCCTGAAGCCCTCAGATATATGTGTAATATATCAATGGAAAGCTCTTTGAAAATGAATATCAGTTTACATTTACCACATTTCGATAGCTATTTTCGTTTTCAGCCTATAAGCGAATATATATATTTCGCCCCGATTTCCAACCCTTATAGCTCGCCCCAGGGGCTTTATTAGCACGTATAAAAAAAATACGTAAACCTTATTTTTGGCCATACTATCGCTGTACCAAATTTCAACAAAATCGTTCTGATACTTCCCTTGTAAGTAAGGTTCATTAAAGCCCTACATTTGCCCTAAACTTTTGGAGGGTTAAAGTTACAATAAATCCCCTTAGCCCAGCAGCAAAAATATTATTCAAAAAAATTATGATCTTGATTTAAATAATATGTTAAAACATGGCTGATGTTCCAAAAAAATAGTTTCAATTGCATTTTGTGGGCATTCACTTTATAACTTAAAGATTATCTTTAAATATATTTCAGTAATACATTACATATATATTTTAATTTCATTTAAATTTGAGAATAAAACATAATTGACACATTATAGTGTATATTTAAGATAATACAAATTATTCCATCATAAGAAACAATTTTATTTTAGACATAAATACATTCATCAAAATTAATTTTCCACCTTGCCTTGCTTTTTTTCTTTTAAAATTAATTTCCTACCTAAAAAATCATAGGCAGAATTACTCAAACAAGAATCATCTTGATCAGAATCAGAACTAGCATTAGAACTGGAATCATTGTAACAACCCAAGCCAGGCAAAATACCAATACATGTTAATTTATCCACTTCTTTAGTTGAATCATGATCTCTTTTTGTTCCATGTGGGTTTGCTTCATCTTTTTTAGATTCATCTTTTCGCTGACTCTTTTCACATTTATTATGATGAGTTAGTTTATTGCTTTCTTCTATTTCATCGTGTTTTCGCTTGATAGCTTCAGTTTTTTTAACAACCACTCCTTTTAATAACTTGGTTTGAGACTTTTTATTTGTCACTATCACTTTCGGTTTAACAGCTTGAATTTCAGCCTGTAATTTATTATCTAAAGATTTTTCTTGTAAACTCGCCACTCTATTTCTGTAATCATTTAATTCTTGCTCTTCCTCAATGTTTTTTCTTCTATCGGCTGCTAATTTCGTACGATCAACCAAATCTAAGAATTCTATTTCATCATCATCAAGACCTTTTATCATGTTTTCTAAAAACGACAACTTTTATAAAAAGAATTCGTTAAATTAGTTCTTACTAAGTTTATGTGCTTCTTCATATTCCAAGTCTTTTTTTTGTTTCTGCTCTTGTAATTTTTCGTATAAACTTCGGTGATCGTGGGGTTCTTCTGGACGTTCTAAGATTTGAAATAAATTTACTTGAAACGTCAGATTTCAATTTGAGGTTATGTTACCTATTGGATCATCCGCTTTTCTAACTCTTTCCCATTCGGCTTGTCTCCGATTCCTCACTTCAACTGCCTCCGTTTCAGTTATAAAACCAGAACTCATTTTAAATTGCTGATTATCTCTCTACAAAATCAATTATTTATTTATAAATCTGACAGGTATTAACTTGACGTTTGACGTTTATTATTCACATACTTCTCAATAATAAAAAAAAATGTCTTTTATAAGAAAATGATAGAAATATGTGGTTTATTAAAGTTGGAAAGAGATGAAATGACATAATTTGTTTTATGATTCAAACATAAATTTCAAATAATTAGGTACTCACTTTTGTATGTATTGGCGTTTTAAACGTCAAAGTACGCTTTCACTTTAAGCTCGATCCCAAAAGACGTTAGGTTCAATCTCACCGTTTAATTATAAAATTTAATTAGAATTGAAACTTAAACGCACAAACACAATTAATTTTTTTTGATAAAATAAAATTATCAAAAGAGAAACGCGAACACCATCTGTTATTCAATGACAAATCATCGTATTTGACAAATTTGAACAAAGATGGCGTTCGGAATTTTTTGATATTTTATTTAAAAAAAAATTATTAATTAAATTCTATTTAAATGTAAATATAGCAGTGATAAGAAGTATTATAAAAAGATGTGTGCGTATCACAAATATGATTTTTTAATGTTTCTTCATACAATATTAAATTATTGATGGAATATCATATATTGGATGATGTGCTATATTAACAATTTTTTTGATGATATCTCTCTATTAATAGCTCCCTCTAATGTTAAAAATCAAAACGCCATTTATTGATCGCTATATGTACAGTCAGAGAGTAAAATTTCCAAATAGTAGTTTACGAAATCAGGGTGGTACTCGGCTTATTTTGATTCGAACCATACGAATTATTAAGTTAGTGATATCATTGTTAAAATGATTTTTAATAATACCAAATATGAAAATCATTTATATTTCATATTTTAAATAAAAAATATCTATTATAATGTTTATACAAGAAAAGAAATTTGATATTTCGACAAATACAGCCCTGTTTCCACCCCTTGAGTGTACGAAGGGAGGCTGGAAATGTACCAGTTTTCCGAAGGTCTCTCTCACGCCGCCGAGATGGAAACCCTCACGTCGAATTCGTAACAAAAATTTTATTAGAAAAACCCGAGCAATCGTCCCATACAAGCCATTTCGATTCCATCAATTACAAGGGATGTTTTAAAACTGATCTTTACGATAACTAAATTGAGGGTGATCTTCGGAAAAACTTTTGTGGTTAGTATTGATTGGCCGTATTAGTTTTTTTCCTAATCCATGTTCCATCTCGGCGGAAAATAGCCGATAATCAGTTTCCCGAATCTCGTCTTCCAATAAACTCTACCATCCAGAAGCATCGTCAAGATGCAAAAATTAGGAAGCATACATCTTCCACCGGTTAGCGCGGCTGTTAACGTAGCCTGGCAAACACTTAGACAGCAAATGCCAGATAAAGTGGGGGCATCCAAAGGGGAGAAACATTCCGAAAGGGTTCATTTTGCACAGACTAATCATACCGGTCCAGGTAACGAACACCATGAATTAAGTAGCATGGGGAATACATCCCAATGGAGTCCAACCGAACCTTCTATGCAAGCTGAAGACAGTTTTAATCAAGGATATCAAAGAAGCGCTAGCATGGGAAAGCAACAATCTACGTCTTCCATGGATTTTTCTGAGGATGATTTCGTTGAAGGTAGAAGTGAAATCAAGATTAACGAATATCAAGCTGCTTGGAATGTTACTAATGCTATTCAGGTGAGAAAAATATGCATTGTATATCTCTATATCTGTATTGATGATTTTTGTGGAGGCTGAATATAGGCTTCTCATGGCAAAACTAGTTAATTAGGTTGTTAATATAATTTCTAACTACACGTTGCTTTTTGACAAACACAAAATCCGTTTTTAATTTTTTGGTATCTTTGAAATACTTTCAAAATCATTTTTTTAATTTTTTTTACACTTTTTAAGTATTCTACAGCTATTTTTATGTTATTAGTACCATTTTGACAAACACAAACATTTTACTAATTTTTTTTTTATTATTATAGGGAATGTTTATAGTTTCTCTTCCATTCGCTGTTCTTCGCGGTGGTTATTGGGCAATAGCAGCAATGGTTGGAATAGCCTACATTTGTTGTTACACTGGAAAAATTCTCGTTGAATGCTTGTATGAACTTGATTTGCAAACGGGTCAACAAGTTCGTGTTAGAGATTCTTATGTGAGCATAGCAAAAGAATGTTTTGGTAAAAAATACGGTTCCAGAATGGTTAATATTGCTCAAATAATTGAACTTTTAATGACCTGCATTTTGTATGTGGTTGTTTGTGGTGATTTAATGATTGGATCCTATCCAGATGGTGCCATAGACACACGATCGTGGATGATGTTAGTGGGAATTTTCTTGTTACCTTTAGGTAAGATTTGTTTAACGTTTAATTTAATTTGAATTGTTTTATAAATAATCTTTTTTGTTGTAGCATTTTTGAAGTCATTAAAAAGCGTTAGCGTGTTATCGTTTTGGTGCACAATGTCCCATATCTTAATAAACGCAATAATCATGGGATATTGTCTTTTGGAAATCGGTGACTGGGGATGGAGTAAAGTGAAATGGTCGGTTGACCTAGAAAATTTTCCGATAAGTCTTGGAGTAATTGTATTTTCTTATACCTCGCAAATTTTTTTGCCAACTTTAGAGGGAAACATGGAAGATCCAACAAAGTTTCAATGGATGTTGGATTGGTCGCATGTATGGGCGGCGGTTTTTAAATCGGTTTTCGGTTACGTTTGCTTTTTAACGTTTCAATTAGACACCCAACAAGTAATCACCAACAATCTCCATTCGAGAGGTTTTAAAGGGTTGGTCAATTTTTGTCTTGTGGTTAAAGCATTGTTGAGTTATCCCCTTCCTTATTACGCTGCTTGTGAGCTTTTGGAGAGGGCGTTTTTTAAGGGGCGACCAAAAACTATTTTCCCATCGATTTGGGCTTTAGATGGCGAATTAAAAGTTTGGGGTTTAGCTTGGCGGGTTGGTGTCGTCGTTTTTACCATTTTAATGGCATGTTTTATACCGCATTTTCAAATTTTAATGGGATTCATTGGTAGTTTCACCGGAACTATGTTAAGTTTTATTTGGCCCTGTTATTTTCATTTGAAATTAAAACGTGAAGGTATGGATATGCAAACTATCGCTTTTGATTATTTTATAATCGGTTTGGGTGTTTTGTTTGGGGTTATCGGTATTTATGATTCAGGAAATGCTTTAATTAAAGCGTTTAAAATTGGGTTACCGTTTTAAAAGAAGAAAATACCAAAAAGTGGTTAGCTTTCGTGTTTGTCAATTCGCTTGCTTAATTATCGATTAGTTATTTATACATTTATTCATGCCTAGTCTCAAAGTTACAATGTCTTCCAACAAAATATAGTATTTAAGGGGTTAAACACACTCGACAATAAAAGAAACAGAACATGAAATTAATAGAAGTGTTTGTCAACGAAGTCTTCCAAAAAAAGAAATTTTAAATGCCTTTATGGATAACATAATACATATTTTTGTTATATGTATTGTTTATAGTAAGTAAAAATGAGCAATTCAAGCATGTCTTCCATAAGGTACAATTATTAATATAAGATTGTAATAAAAGAACGTTGTACCAGTTTTCAATTGTGAATTGTTACGTAATCGTATAATAGATTTAACGGTACAAAACATATCATTTTTCTTCTTTTTTTTGGTTTATAAGATTTTACAGCAGATTTAGCACAACTTTGTCTTAGAAAAGAGTTCGATTATGGTTTGTACCAAAAATTACTGAATAAACCACGTCTTCCAAATAACAAAAATGGTTCTATACATAACTTAAATATCGTTGTAAAATGTAAATGATCAATTAAGTATTTAAATATTTCTACATCTTGTAGATTTATATTCATCTATACAATACTTGTTAGACTTATATTGTTATAAAAAAAGCGGTTGTTATTGAATGTGTACACAAATCATATTCATTATTCTCTATAACTAAATATTAATATTATTCTATGTACAAAAATATAAATTTTCAAACATCTTAAATTTGGCTGGGTTACGTTACAGGATGAATAGACTAGATAAACACACGACGTTGATTTTCACATTTTATACATATCACTAAAGTTTGTAGAAATAGCGTTTAGATTTATTGTTAGACGATGTATCATTATTAGATGTTGATGCTGTAAAATCGTGCAATTAAAAATTCAATAGAAACTCAACATTTTCGTTAATAATTCCTAAAACGTAATCATATCCTCACCAATTCATTTTAAACGCACTGTATGTATATAATTTTCAAATCAAGAAACCAACCTCACATTGAACTGTCAGAAGCAACCCTACCGATTTATCGATATAGAAGATAGTCTACTGATATACGACTTAATCTACCGATTTTCAAAATTTTAACAAAGTGTTATGAAACACATCGTACTTAAAATCAATACATTAGCGACAAAAATTGTACACCCTACTTATATTGCATAAAAGTATATACCAACGATATGGCAATGTCGCTCGAGCAACGTTGCCAGATCGTTAGTATATACAGTACGCGTCATTCCTTGCCTAATTTGAAAACGGTTCATATTTTCGTATCTATCTCGATATTGACGTATCTAAGAGCAAAAGTGCAAGAGAGCAATATTGTTAACAATAAAATTAACTACAACTTTTAATGTAAAAGTTTTTTTGTAACACGCTGCGATTCCCGAGTATTAGCTTTAATTACTTAAAAAAGCTACAGATTCATTTTTCACATTTTCGTATCTATTTCGATATTGACGTATCTAAGAGTAAAAGTGCAAGAGAGCAATATTGTTAACAATAAAATTTGGAACAATTTTCGTTATAGTAGTTTTCTTATAGCAAGCTCCGATTCTCAAGTATTACCTTTAATAACTTGAAAGAGCAACAAATTCATCAAATTTTCATATTTTCGTATCTATCTCGATATTGACGCATCTAAGAGTAAAAGTGCAAGAGAGCAATATTGTTAACAAAAAAATTTACAACAATTTTTGTTATAAAAGTTTTCTTATAGCATGCTTCGATTCCCAAGTGTTCCCTTTAATAACTTAAAAGAGAAACAAATTCATCAAATTTTCATATTTTCGTATCTACCTCGATATTGACGTATCTAAGAGCAAAAGTGCAAGAGAGCAATATTGTTAACAATAAAATTTGCAACAATTTTTGTTATAAAAGTTTTCTTATAGCAAGCTCCGATTCTCAAGTGTTACCTTTAATAACTTGAAAGAGCAACAAATTCATCAAATTTTCATATTTTCGTATCTACCTCGATATTGACGTATCTAAGAGCAAAAGTGCAAGAGAGCAATATTGTTAACAATAAAATTTGCAACAATTTTTGTTATAAAAGTTTTCTTATAGCAAGCTCCGATTCTCAAGTGTTACCTTTAATAACTTGAAAGAGCAACAAATTCATCAAATTTTCATATTTTCGTATCTACCTCGATATTGACGTATCTAAGAGCAAAAGTGCAAGAGAGCAATATTGTTAACAATAAAATTTGCAACAATTTTTGTTATAAAAGTTTTCTTATAGCAAGCTCCGATTCTCAAGTGTTACCTTTAATAACTTGAAAGAGCAACAAATTCATCAAATTTTCATATTTTCGTATCTACCTCGATATTGACGTATCTAAGAGCAAAAGTGCAAGAGAGCAATATTGTTAACAATAAAATTTGCAACAATTTTTGTTATAAAAGTTTTCTTATAGCAAGCTCCGATTCTCAAGTGTTACCTTTAATAACTTGAAAGAGCAACAAATTCATAAAATTTTCATATTTTCGTATCTATCTCGATATTGACGTATCTAAGAGCAAAAGTGCAAGAGAGCAATATTGTTAACAATAAAATTTGCAACAATTTTTGTTATAAAAGTTTTCTTATAGCAAGCTCCGATTCTCAAGTGTTACCTTTAATAACTTGAAAGAGCAACAAATTCATAAAATTTTCATATTTTCGTATCTATCTCGATATTGACGTATCTAAGAGCAAAAGTGCAAGAGAGCAATATTGTTAACAATAAAATTTGCAACAATTTTTGTTATAAAAGTTTTCTTATAGCAAGCTCCGATTCTCAAGTGTTACCTTTAATAACTTGAAAGAGCAACAAATTCATAAAATTTTCATATTTTCGTATCTATCTCGATATTGACGTATCTAAGAGCAAAAGTGCAAGAGAGCAATATTGTTAACAATAAAATATGCAACAATTTTTGTTATAAAAGATTTCTTATAGCATGCTCCGATTCCCAAGTGTTACCTTTAATAACTTGAAAGAGCAACAAATTCATCAAATTTTCATATTTTCGTATCTAAATCGCTATTGACGCATCTAAGAACAAAAGTGCAAGAGAGCAATATTGTTAACAATAAAATTTTCAACAATTTTTGTTATAAAAGTTTTCTTATAGCATGCTCCGATTGTCAAGTGTTACCTGTAATAACTTGAAAGAGCAACAAATTTTCATATTTTCGTATCTATCTCGATATTGACGCATCTAAGAGCAAAAGTGCAAGAGAGCAATAATGTTAACAATAAAATTTGCTACAACTTTTATTGTAAAAGTTTTTTTGTAACACGCTGCGATTCCCGAGTATTAGCTTTAATAACTTAAAAAAAGCTACAGATTAATTTTTCACATTTTCGTATCTATTTCGATATTGACGCATCTAAGAGCAAAAATGCAAGATAGCAATATTGTTAACAATAAAATTTGCAACAATTTTTGTTATAAACGATTTCTTATAGCATGCTCCAATTCCCAAGTATTACATTTAATAATTTGAAAGAGCAACAAATTCATAAAATTTTCATTCTTTCGTATCTATCTCGATATTGATGTATCTAAGAGCAAAAGTGCAAGAGAGCAATGTTGTTAACAATAAAATTTGCAACAATTTTCGTTATAAAACATTTCTTATAGCATGCTCCGATTCCCCAAGTGTTATCTTTAAAAACTTGAAAGAGCAACAAATTCATAAAATTTTCATTTTTTCGTATCTATCTCGATATTGACGTATCTAAGAGTAAAAGTGCAAGAGAGCAATATTGTTAACAATAAAATTTGCAACAATTTATGTTATAAAAGATTTTTTATAGCATGCTCCGATTTCCAAGTGTTACCTTTAATAACTTGAAAGAGCAACAAATTCATCAAATTTTTATATTTTCGTGTCTACCTCGATATTGACGCATCTAAGAGTAAAAGTCCAAGAGAGTAATATTGTTAACAATAAAATTTGCAACAATTTTTGTTATAAAAGTTTTCTTATAGCAAGCTCCGATTCTCAAGTGTTACCTTTAATAACTTGAAAGAGCAACAAATTCATCAAATTTTCATATTTTCGTATCTACCTCGATATTGACGTATCTAAGAGCAAAAGTGCAAGAGAGCAATATTGTTAACAATAAAATTTGCAAACATTTTTGTTATAAAAGATTTCTTATAGTAAGCTCCGATACCCAAGTGTTACCTTTAATAACTTGAAAGAGCAACAAATTCATAAAATTTTCATATTTTCGTATCTAAATCGATATTGACGCATCTAAGAGCAAAAGTGCAAGAGAGCAATATTGTTAACAATAAAATTTGCAACAATTTTTGTTATAAAAGCTTTCTTATAGCAAGCTTCGATTCTCAAGTGTTACCTTTAATAACTTGAAAGAGCAACAAATTCATAAAATTTTCATATTTTCGTATCTATCTCGATATTGACGCATCTAAGAGCAAAAGTGCAAGAGAGCAATATTGTTAACAATAAAATTTGCAACAATTTTTGTTATAAAAGCTTTCTTATAGCATGCTCCGATTCCCAAGTGTTTCATTTAATAATTTGAAAGAGCAACAAATTCATCAAATTTTCATATTTTCGTATCTACCTCGATATTGACGCATCTAAGAGCAAAAGTGCAAGAGAGCAATATTATTAACAATAAAATTTGCACTAATTTTTGTTATAAAAGATTTCTTATAGCATGCTCCGATTCCCAAGTGTTACATTTAATAATTTGAAAGAGCAACAAATTCATAAAATGTTCATATTTTCGTATCTACCTCGATATTGACGCATCTAAGAGCAAAAGTGCAAGAGAGCAATATTGTTAACAATAAAATTTGCAACAATTTATGTTATAAAAGATTTTTTAAAGCATGCTCCGATTCCCAAGTGTTACCTTTAATAACTTGAAAGAGCAACAAATTCATCAAATTTTTATATTTTCGTATCTACCTCGATATTGACTTATAAACTTTTACCAAACAACATTTTCTGACTTTGTTTATTTAAACTTATTTAAACCTACCGATTTTTTACCATTGATTCTACNTACCTCGATATTGACTTATAAACTTTTACCAAACAACATTTTCTGACTTTGTTTATTTAAACTTATTTAAACCTACCGATTTTTTACCATTAATTCTACCGACATTTGGTCAGCATAGGTTGGCAACGCTGGTCAGAAGTCAAAATTATTTTAACTGTCACATTTGGTATTGTTTACATGTATATCGAATTATTTATTAAACATTATGATAAAACCAAATAAAATAAACTAATGGCTAATCATTACGAAGTTCCGAATTGGTAAGTAGATGCTATATAAATTCATTATGTATCTACTTTTGGTTGATTAAAGATTATTTGAGGTTATGTTAACTTTTCCTTTAAGGGCTGGAAAACCGCCTGTAGGTTTACATTTGGACGTGTTAAAAGGAGAAAAATTAATTCAAAAATTAATGATAGATGAAAAAAAGTGTTATTTATTTGGTCGAAACGCTTATATGAATGACTTTTGCATTGATCATGCTTCATGTTCTCGAGTTCATGCAGCCTTAGTTTACCATAAGCATCTCAATAGAGCTTTTTTAGTTGATTTAGGAAGTAGTAAGTTTTTGGAAATACGCACAAAATCAAACTAATCAATTTAAATAACCTATTTAGCTCATGGTACATTTATTGGATCGTTACGTTTAGAAGCTAACAAACCAACTCAACTTCCAATTGACTCTAGTTTTCACTTTGGTGCCTCAACCAGAAACTACATAATCAGAGAGCGACCACAAGCTGGTATAAGACCTATTATTGATGAAATAGAAAAAGCTGGGGAAGAAACTGAAGGGGGGTTATTAGGTTTACCTGAGTCTGAAACGGAATTAGATAATTTAACAGAATTTAATACAGCTCATAATAGAAGGATATCCATGTTAGGAATATCGGATGATTCTGAAAAACGTTCTGCAAATCGGAAAAGAAAACGACAAGGCGTTTCATTTAATGAAGACGAAGAAATTATTAATCCAGAAGATATTGATCCTTCAGTTGGACGGTTTCGTAATCTTATCCAAACAACTGTTATACCAACATCTAAAAGACAAAAACTTGCTGAGACTATTGGAATCCAAGCAACTGAATTTAAACTACCAAAAGCAATAAGTTCAGCACCACAACTTTATCAAGATTTACCTCCAGAAGCTAATCCAACCTCTAACACTGGCGTTGGAATGTTTAGTTCATTAACAGCACGATTAGGAATTCATTTACCTAATCCAGCACCTGACGTTGAAATGGAACCGGCTTATAAACAACAAACACCTTTTGTGCCACCCCAAGTCCAAGTTCAAGACAGTTTCGAACCGAAAAAAAAGAAGTATGCAAAAGAAGCTTGGCCCGGAAAGAAACCTACTCCTGCTTTACTTGTCTAATTTGTATTTTATTATTTTTTTTTTCTTTTATAAAGGAAAATATTAAATTTGTAGATATTTTTTCTTTCGTTTCAATGAAATATAATTATTATGGTAAGATTATGAATTTGTTGATTAATTTTTTTCCTTTATTCTCAATATATCCACTCTTATTAATTTAGTATATCCAGATATAATGACTAATTATATTAATTTTTAAAAAGAAAGAAAAGTTATGAAAAGTTATGCTGCAATAAAGGGAGATCACTTAATCAGAAGAATAATATTAAAAACTTTCGTATTCAAACTGCCATAAAAACTATAAAACAAAGCAGACAAAAATGCAGTAATAATAGTATATTATTATATGAGTAATAATAGCTCATTATATGCGAGTAGAATACTATACTTTGTCCACGACTATTGAAATTGATTCCATAAATTTATTTTTTAAATAAATTTTTGAATAAAGGTTAAACGTCAATGTGACACAACTGTAACCAACTTCACAACAATTTGTCAAAATTAAGTGTCAGTTTTATAAAACGTCATTTTCTTTACGAAAATTAATTAATTTATGCCTAAGGCCCACTTTTACCACCTCTTGATAAATTTAACCGATAGATAAATTGGCGCTCTTAACCAATGAGAGCGCTTAAAACCGCTGTAACCATGGTAATTATCTATCAGATAAATTTATCAAGAGGTGGTAAAAGTGGGCCTAAATCATACAAAAAAAGGAATTTGTTTAGGTTTTTTTAATGTCAAACATTTAGAAACTCCTAAAAAATTGAATTAAATTGACGTTTTTTGAACTTTTAACGTTTCAAATAATTATTATTAGTCTGGTCAAGATGGCTACCCGTGAAAAATGACTACCATTTTGTTTTAGAAAACTTATTCATAAGGTATATATTATAAGGTAGTAGTGGACAAAAACAATTAATTTCTTAAAAGAAAATGGTTGCAAAGAAATTAAGAAAGACCCATTAAATTTAATAACAGCTAAAACTAAGAATGTCATCAATAAACATGCTATCACAAAGCTTGGTCAAAACCTATATTTTCTAACGCCTATGAACTGCTTCATACCACAACTTTACTCTCTCATAAAACTCCATAAGGACAATTTACCCATTAGGCCTATAACCACATGTTTTGACTCTCCTACCTCTAAAATTACTGATTTTATGACATTTTTAAACAAATTTACTATAAACCAATACACTCTCTGAAAAACTCATTACAACTCATCAAAAACTTAAAACATATTTCACCTAATAATAATACACTGGTATCCTTCGATGTGGTCAATTTATACACAAATGTTGATACCACTTACACTTTAAAGGCGATTGAAGACATATTCTTTCAACATTTTAAAGATAAAATCATCACTGCTGACTTAATTCAAATACTTAATCACATAATTCAACAAAACTATGGTCGCTTTGATAAAAAAATTTACAAACTTGAGCATGGACTTCCTATGGGTCTTTCCATTTCTGGATTATTAGCTGATTTGCATTATGTGTATGGAATGGAAATAAATTCGATCTTGATAGTATGCTATCTTACATGAACAACATCCACAAGAATCGTAAATTCACCTTAGAGATAAAAAAGGACAACTGCTTAAATTTCCTAGACTTAAAAATAGAAAAAATTGACAATAATTTTAAGTTTGACATTTTTAGGAAGCCCTCATCTTTAAATACTGTCATCCCTTATGATTCGTTCCATCCCAACAACTACAAATTAGCTGCTTTCCAGGCTTTTATTGTCAGACTATTGAAATATCCTCTAGTCTAGACTATACATCCAGACTAAAAGAACTAAATTTTATTAACATATTAGCAAGAGAAAATGGTTATCCAAGTTGTACCATCGACCAATTACTGTATAAAAACCTCATAAAACTAGACCCTTTATACTCTACGAAAAAAATTTGGAACAATTTTCGTTATAATAGTTTTCTTATAGCAAGCTCCGATTCTCTATTACCTTTAATAACTTGAAAGAGCAACAAATTCATCAAATTTTCATATCTACCTCGATAGTGACGTATCTAAGAGCAAAAGTGCAAGAGTAAAAGTCCAAAGGAGGACTTTAATTCATCTTAGAGATAGAAAAGGACAACTGCTTAAATTTCCTAGACTTAAAAATAGAAAAAATTGACAATAATTTTAAGTTTGACATTTTTAGGAAGCCCTCATCTTTAAATACTGTCATCCTTATGATTCGTTCCATCCCAACAACTACAAATTAGCTGATTTCCAGGCTTTTATTGTCAGACTATTGAAATATCCTCTAGTCTAGACTATACATCCAAACTAAAAGAACTAAATTTTATTAACATATTAGCAAGAGAAAATGGTTGTCCAAGTTGTACCATCGACCAATTACTGTATAAAAACCTCATAAAACTAGACCCTTTATACTCTACGAATAAAATTTGGAACAATTTTCGTTATAATAGTTTTCTTATAGCAAGCTCCGAATCTCTATTACCTTTAATAACTTGAAAGAGCAACAAATTCATCATATTTTCGTATCTAAATCGATATTGACGTATCTAAGAGCAAAAGTGCAAGAGAGCAATATTGTTAACAATAAAATTTGCAATAATTTTTGTTATAAAAGTTTTCTTATAGCAATCTCCGATTCTCAAGTGTTACCTTTAATAACTTGAAAGAGCAACAAATTCATAAAATTTTCATTTTTTCGTATCTATCTCGATATTAACGTATCTAAGAGTAAAAGTGCAAGAGAGCAATATTGTTAACAATAAAATTTGCAACAATTTTTGTTATAAAGGATTTCTTATAGCATGCTCCGATTCCTAAGTGTTACCTTTAATAACTTGAAAGAGCAACAAATTCATAAAATTTTCATTTTTTTGTATCTATCTCGATATTGACGTATCTAAGAGTAAAAGTGCAAGAGAGCAATATTGTTAACAATAAAATTTGCAACAATTTTTGTTATAAAACATTTCTTATAGCATGCTCCGATTCCCCAAGTGTTACCTTTAATAACTTGAAAAAGTATCAAATTCATCAAATTTTCATATTTTCGTATCTATCTCGATATTGACGCATCTAAGAGTAAAAGTCCAAAGGAGGACTTTAATTCATCTTAGAGATAGAAAAGGACAACTGCTTAAATTTCCTAGACTTAAAAATACAAAAAAATGACAATAATTTTAAGTTTGACATTTTTAGGAAGCCCTCATCTTTAAATACTGTCATCCCTTATGATTCGTTCCATCCCAACAACTACAAATTAGCTACTTTCCAGGCTTTTATTGTCAGACTATTGAAATATCCTCTAGACTATACATCCANAAATTGACAATAATTTTAAGTTTGACATTTTTAGGAAGCCCTCATCTTTAAATACTGTCATCCCTTATGATTCGTTCCATCCCAACAACTACAAATTAGCTACTTTCCAGGCTTTTATTGTCAGACTATTGAAATATCCTCTAGACTATAAATCCAGACTAAAAGAACTAAATTTTATTAACAGATTAGCAAGAGAAAATGGTTGTCCAAGTTGTACCATCGACCAATTATTGTATAAAAACCTCATAAAACTAGACCCTTTATACTCTACAAATAAAAATAACTTTGACAATTATAAGACAATAACATACAACAAAATAAACTGCAAAATTGAAACCATACTACAAACCTATTGTGTATTTGTCAGCTTTAAATGTAAAGGACAACTAGGTGATTCCATTTCTAACTACAAACAAAAAGAAAACGCTTTGGATTGTAGTTCTGTTAAGTGTTGCGATTGTTCTGCTATGTATGTTGTATGAAACAGGCCATAACATTGATTATGACAATGTACAGGATGATTCTAACTCGGAAACTATAAGAGTTAGGTCCATTACTACCATCTTTTAGTTAAATTTATCTTATAGATAAACTCATCTACTCACTGATCTAGCCAATCAGAGCGCGTAAAATATCCGTAACCGTGGTAATAATCCCTTAGATAGCTTAACCAGAAGATGGTAGTAACGAACCTTAGAAAAAAAGTAGCTTACATGTCATGATCTCGTTTTTCGAGAAACTGCTAATGCCGAAAACCTCAAAGCGCTATCGTCTTTTGTTTTTCCCCTAGAGGCCAAAATTGAAAATATCGTAAAACAAGCAAGTGCAATTATCTTGGTTATTATTAAAGGTGGAGTATTATAACTACGACGTTATATGGACACTTTTTTACAGAGAATTTCATGACATAGCCAAAAAAAATTTTTCGGTTTTAGATTTTGAGATATCATGAGAATTTTTGTTTTTTTAAATCGAAAGAACCACTGATTATTCGCTTATTAAATTCGTTATTTTTTTCTGATTACAAAAATATGGGGTTATATAGGGGTTATTTCTTATTGTTTTAGAATAAAGCTAAAAATAAACTTTTTTTTAGTGTCGTTAAAGAAATTAAATTTACAGTTTCCTGTCAATTATAACTAAAAATTAAAAAAACATATTTCTGATATTTGAATTAAATACATTTGTTAAACTATTTAATTTATATTTATTTTACACAAAAGTTGGAATATATTGCATTGTTACACATTTTTTATTAATATTTAATATTATTATTAAATGACTTAATAAATTATTGATAGATGGCGCTCATATATATATATATATATATTTTTTAATTCAAATAAACATAGCAACATTTGATTGTATTGGTTTGTATTCAAAAATTTTTGGAAGTGTCAAATTGAAAATCCTGTTTTTTAAGATGTATTACGAAAAGTTTAACATGTTAGAATGTTAAATATTAGAAAATAAAGTAAATTTTATATAAATTTTTAGTTATAGAACCGTAATTTACAGGAAACTGTAAATTTAATTTCTTTGACGACACTAAAAAAAACTTTATTTTTAGCTTTATTCTAAAACAATAAGAAATAGACCTATATAACCCCATATTTTTGTAATCAGAAAAAAATAACGAATTTAATAAGCGAATAATCAGTGGTTGTTTTCATTTAAAAAAAACGAAAATTGTCATACTATCTAGAAATCTAAAACCGAAACATTTTTTTGACTACGTCATCAAATTCTCTGTAAAAAAGTGTCCATATAATGTCTTAGTTATAATACTCCACCTATAATAATAACCAAGATAATTGCACTTGCTGGTTTTACGATATGTTCAATTTTGGTTGAGGTTTGAGGTTTTTAGCATTAGCAATTTCTCAAAAAACGAGATCATGACATGTAAGCTATTTTTTTTCTAACTCTTATAGTTTTGGAGATAGCCTATTCGGACATCGAATTTGAACCACCCTGTACAACTCCTACATAAGTGTAAAAAAGGTTTGAAAATGAATTTCCTTGAAATGTTCGAAATCGAGAAACTTAAGCATAATGATAACTATCTTACCAAGTACATAAACTTAATTAATAAAAAACTTTAGAGGTCAAGAGGCCTACTTATTATTACTTATTTCATTTCAACAATTATATTAATAGGCTTTTTGTGGCTGCATTATTACATTTTACAATATTTAAGGTATGTATAGACTCGTGCATTCCATAGGATCTTGATTAAGACATTTTTTTTTCTACTTTTAATAAAGGAAGGTAATTATTACCAAAAATATAATATCATTGCCAATTTTTATTTTTTCATAATTCCAATTATACAAAAAGATATTAATTAACAATGATACCTAAACTTATAATTTAAAAATTATTTTTTATTGGGCGGGTACTTCGCCTGTCGGCATAGATTTAATAATGTCTGAATCTCCAGGATCCGTAATCGACATGACACACACCCTAAAGTATTTACCGCAGGCTGTACCGAGTTCAATATTATTCCCTGTGTAATGATGTACACCCGTCTTGGCCAACATAGCGTAATATTCAATCTCGCATTTACGAAGAGGAGGCGTGTTGTTGGCTATGATGATAAGCTTTGCTCTACCTTGTCTTAAAGTCTACAAAAAAGTTGTCAAAAAAAAATTTTAAGGTTAGATTTTTTGAACACTTACTTTTAACGTTTGTTTATATCCTAAACAATATTTGCCCGATTTCATTACAAGGGCAAGTTTACTGTTTATGCTCTCAATGGCCTTTTTCTGCTTCTTTTGCGCTACCATGTTGATCTAAAACAAAAATATTAGGTTATGTTACTACTTTATAGAAAATAAACGTTTTGTATAGTATTGAATTTAAGCTTAATGGAAAGATACGTTTTTTTAAGGTTGAAATTAAGTTATAACGTTTATAAAAGTAAGGAAATCTTTTAAAAATACCTGTTTATTTTACTCCACGTGCAATACGGGACAGTCAACTATGTAAAAGAATATGGCTGACAGTTTCCTTTCGGAAGTACCAACCTAACATTTTTGAAGGCATGTTTTTTAAAAATTCGCATCAATTTTAATATGAACTTATTAATTTGTAAGTAATTTTATAAGTGTTTCGTAATTTGATTTATTTTCATCATAATTAGCATCAAAAAAATTAAAAATTAACGAGAGAAACATTCCTAAATTTGGCGCCATCTTATGTGGATTTAAGATATTGTTAAAATGCCATCTGTTAAATAAAAGTTGAACTTTTTAGAACGTACGTACATAACCTATTTCAAATCATTCCTTGGTGTGTTATCACATGCGTCTGTGAATAAGGTGCTCTATTTTAGTAAGCCGGCATCCAAAAGGAATTCGTGCTGATTTTTATTATTAATTTTATTGTTTAAAAGGTAAATTTTGATTAAAAATTAAATAATTATTTTATTCCGTTCAAAATTTCATTAAATCGTTTATCTTACGATTAAGATTCTTTTCCACATCCGCTCGTGGTTTTTATCTTTTTCCTATTTTTTTTTATTGAAACCAATTTAACTTGTATTTACTCAATTTCAGGTTTAAATTCGGGGTAACCATGGTAAAATCGCCTATTACAAACGGTAAGTACTTTAAATTTTTAAACTTGAAAAAAAAGTTTTGAATTGAATGAAAAGTTTTTTACTGGGGTCATAAATAATTTCGGATTGTCTCGATTTATACGAACATCGCGGGGACATTCGTTATATCAGTCTTTCAAAACCGCTTTTGACCTTCTTCAAGGACGACTATCTTGTACCTGACTGTACCAGTCTTACCTTTTCTATCGATTCTAAAAGCCGACCCTCCTCTCAATACGATTAAATTTGTCGCGACAAACTTTTACTTCAACTCTCAACACAAAAAAATTGTTTAGCAAAACGATAACAAATTTTAGATATCGATGTCTAAAATCAACAAGATACCTTTCGAGATATGTGTTATAACATCAATATGTTACTATTTAAAAGACCTCTTAAATATTTCGATATAATAATGAGTGGGAGATTTTAATAGGACTCATAGAAAACGATAACTTGCTTTAAAAGAATTTTATTCTGATTTAATAATAAAGTATTGTAATCGTGCAAAAATTGGAACAAAAGTCTAATTTACTCCTAAATGGATTACCAGAATCGTACCAATTTTGGAAAAGGAAATGCCAGAGTTAACATTCGTAATGTTCAAATAGAAAAGTCTTAAATACAGGAAAAAAGAGAAAGTGGAAAATGCAATTGACGCGAAAGTTGAATTTGTTTAAGCTGAAAGTGAATTTAATTTAAGATGCAATATACAAAAATATATTTCCATAGATCCCAGGGCGCTCCATGTCAATACAGGGTGTATCAAATATGAGTAGAAAAAATTTGAGGGGTTATAGGTCCCATTTTTGTGAATAAAAAATTCTTATAACACAATGTCCCATTTTTTGCCATTCTTAAGATATGACACGATAAAGTTAAGGGTTTGAAAGTTTAAGTACTGCTGTATAAAGAATTATACCAAGCAGGCCTTGCTTATGTATACAGGGTGTATCTGAATGACTGTAACAAACTTCAAGGGTGATTCTTTAGTGAGTTTTAAGGGTACTTTGATATATATGAACCATGGGCGACTTCGGCTCCCCTAAGGAGCTACACCCCTCCAAAAATAGCTGAAAATTTTGGTTTAATTTCTTTTTCTCAAAAACTATAAACGCTAGGAAAATGAAATTTGGGGAATATGTTTAACTCATAATAGGGCACGTTTTGACCCTATTTGTACTTTCAATCTACCCTTTATGCCTAGATTTTTTTTATGAAGATGATAAATACATTGGAAAAATTTCAGTTAGATAGATAAAACTATTCTAAAACTTTTTTGTCTCTCTGATGTTCTTCTAAAAATTAATAATTTCTGAGAAAAAAAATAATTAAGCAAACACTAACTGTTAAGCTGTAGGGTTGTTAATCGAAAGTTGGAATGAATTTTTAATGAAAAAATCTTAGTAGGCTTTGCAATCTTTGTCAGAAATATTTTTGACGTTTAAATATCAGTGGTTTTCTTACTTTATTATTGTTTTATTTAAAATTTTGAAACGTCGAGTGAACGAGCGTAAATGCGATAGAACTTTATTCAAAAATTAATTTGAAAAACAATAATAATAGTAAGAAAAACTGACATTTAAACGTCAAAAATATTTCTAACAAAGATTGCAAAGCCTACTAAGATTTTTTCATTCAAAATTCATTCCAACTTTTGATCGACAACCCCGTTGTTTAACGGGCAGTGTTTGCTTTACTATTTTTTTTCTCAAAAATTAGTCGTTTTTGGAAAAATTTCAGAGAGTCAAAAAAGTTTTAGAATACTTTTATCTATCTATGTAAAATTTTTGGTCACGTTTAGTAGTTTAGAAGGGTAGGTTGAAAGTACAAATAGGGTCAAAACGTGCCCTATTATGAGTTAAACATATTTCCCAAATTTCATTTTCCTAGCGTTTATGGTTTTTGAGAAAAAAAAATAGTAGCTCTTTAGGGGAGCGGAAGTCGTCCATGGTTCATATATCAAAGTACCCTTAAAATTCACTAAAGAATCACCCCTTGAAGTTTGTTGCAGTCATTCAGATACACCCTGTATAGCTTTAATTTGACACATAAAAGTCATTTTTGTGATATTTCTTTAGAAGTTGTTTACTCTTTAATGTGAAAATTTACAAAAATTTTGGTTTTAATAAATAAACTTGTTTATTGTATTAGAAACAACAAAGTTACAAAACTAGAAATAAATTATTAATTGCAAAGCAAAGCCTGCTTAGTATAATTCATTAACCAGTAGTACTCAAACTTGTGAACCCTTAACTTATAAAGTAAGTTATAGAAGTAACCATGCGTAGCTTACCAAATAAGATAGTTCAGCCTTAGATATTTCAGCTAGATTTGCAGCAACTATAAAAGTTGATGAGCAATTCAAGAATTTGTACTGAATGGCTCATTAGAATAGCTTCAAGATTGAAGCAAAAAACATACGATTTTTTTAATGAGCTGCGCAATAGAGTGAGGTTGCGTTGCCACTTATCCTTTTTGTCATATTTTCTGGATATAATTTCTACCATAACTTACGGCGATAATCCACTTCTTGTGTTGCTAATTAGCAGCTCTAGATTTGACCCAACATCAGACCCGAACAGAATCGGACAGCTAAACTTGAATGTTTTTAGGTTTAGTGTTAGTTTTAGTGACAGTGCTAGGTAGCGCTAGTTTGTATTAGATAGCGTTGGGTTGTTGTATATTTCATTGAACTAAAATTAGAACTAACACTAGACGTGAACGCCCTGGGTTCCATGTCAATGTAATTTGACATTACAGTAAAACCTCGAAGAATGTTTCTAGTTCCAGGCCAAATGTTAGGTCTAGTGACATTAGTTAGCATTAGATATCAATATGTTGCATATTTTTATTGAACTAGAACTAACACAAGACCTAGAACTAGAATCATTCGGGTTTAGCCGTCTTGGCAGAAATGTGGCTAAATCCGAATGTTGCTAGATCTAGGTCTAGTGTTAGTTCTAGCACTGTCACTAAAGCTGACATAAGACCTAGAACTAGAATCATTCGGGTTTAGCCGTCTTGAAAGACGTGCGGCTAAATCCGAATGTTTCTAGGTCTAGGTCTAGTGTTAATTCTAGTTTTAAATGTTATTCAGCGTTAGATTGTGGTATATTTTTATTGAACGAAAAGTAGAAGTAACACTAGACTTAGAATTAAAAACATTCGGGTTTAGTCGTGCGTCTCTTAATAATAATAATAATGACATGTCATAAGGACGTCAGCTTTTTCCAAGCAAAAGTTTTCCTCTGCAAAACTACCCAATGCCTGTACTATTAAGCTATAACTATGTTTACTGCTTTCATATATTTCGAGCCTATATGTAATTCCCGGTAGGTACTACGTTGTGTAATTGAAATTTCAGGAACTATTCAGAGTTTTCATATAAATTATAAGCAAACATGGATATGCGGCGTATTTGCATCAAAATGTCAAAACTGAATTAAAGATTCATCCAGCATTCTTTAACAGTAATATTACAACACTTGGAAAAGAAAAATAATTCAGCTATTAACTTGAAGTAACTTGGTTAAGTAAATTTTATGGGACCGGGTTAAGCCAAACTTATTATAAAATATTACAGTTCTAAATTAGATTAACCAGCATCTAGAAAATGCAGCGTTTTGAATAAGATACTGACTCTTGAAACTAGATGTGAATGCTGCCTTAGATATTTCAGTTAGATTTGCAGCCACTACAAAAGTTGGTGAGCAATTCAAGAATTTGTACTGAATGGCTCATTAGAATAGCTTCAAGATTGAAGCAAAAATACGCGATTTTTAATGTGCTACATAATAGAGTGAGGTTGCGTTGCCACTTATCCTTTTTGTCATACTTACCAGCTCTACATTAGACCCAACATCAGACCCGAACGGAATCAGACGGCTAAACCTGAATGTTTTTAGGTTTAGTGTTAGTTTTGGTGACAATGCTAGATAGCGCTAGTTTGTATTAGATAGCGTTGGGTTGTTGTATATTTCTATTGAACTAAAACTAGAACTAACACTAGAGGTGACCCAGGGCGTTCCATGTCAATGTAATTAGACATTACAGTAAAACCTCGAAGAATGTTTCTAGTTCTAGGCCAAATGTTAGGTCTAGTGACATTAGTTAGCATTAGATATCACTATGTTGCATATTTTTATTAAACTAAAACTAGAACTAACACAAGACCTAGAACTAGAATCATTCGAGTTTAACCGTCTTGACAGACGTGTGGCTAAATCCGAATGTTGCCAGATCTAGGTCTAGTGTTAGTTCTAGTTTTGCACTANACGGCATTCATATATTGCGAGTTATATGTAATTCTTTAACAGTAATATTACAACACTTGCAAAAGACAAATAATTCAGCTATTAACTTGAAGTAACTTGGTTAAGTAAGTTTTATATGGCCGGGTTAAGCCAAACTTATTATAAA